AAACGTTAATTTAAATTATCCAGAGGTGATAATACGGAAAACTTTGCACTGTTATAATCTCATATTGAAACTAAAAGTCATGAATTTGTTTTTCTTTTTCATTGCTTCACATAGCTGACTATAAAGAAAGCTTCAATACCATCAGTAACATTGAGGAGATTGCCTATAATGCCATTTCTTTCACTTGGGACATTAATGATGAAGCAAAGGTAAGTAATAAAGCCCAGGGGCTCCTGTATTTCCAGCTGTTGAGAAGCGACAGTTTACTGATATGACAGCTGATATGTATGGTTTTTACAGTTTTATGTGTTTTAATTCCCAGATGTTATGAACCTCTCTCTCCTCCCCTTTTTATCCTCCCCCTCCTCCAAACAAGAGAAATTCAGAACACCAACTGTGACCCTCTGAGCTGTAGTCTGCCGCCCCTGGCTGTTTGACCTTGACTCTGACCCCTCCTTCCCTTGCTTCACTTCCTCCTTCGCGAGGTGGAGTTAACACCTGCTCCCTTCCTCCATTCAAGGATGATGAGAGGACTAGTGAGACAGTGCCTACCAAACTGCTGGAGCTTCCCGAGAGGGGCTCTCAATACAGGACGTCTCTACAGCACTGTACTTCATGTCGCTCTGTTTCGTAGCCTTACCTTGTAAATACAACTCAGTGTCGAGAGTGGGCTTTGTTTACAGTGGGAGAATCACCTCCAATTCAGGTGTCATTTGGATAATTCTGATTGGAGGTTTTAGTACCCTTTGCGAAAAACTAAGCATATTCTTAAGTCATTTCCACCCTTCTCGTGGCGTTCTTCCCCATTAGTATAATCCTTCTCTTCACTAAATTATTAGAATTCTTGTGTTTATTTCTCTTTGACTACTTTATTTTTATTTATTTATTTATTTATTTNTACCATTACTTCCTTCGTGAAGACGCATGCCTGTGCAGTGGCTTTCCATGTGACACTGGGGCCAGGAGCTGTGTAGCCAGCTACCATAAGAATGTCTCCACTTTTTTAGTCTACAAAATTTTTGAGGGTTAATGTCTACCTTAAGAGATTCTGATTATTTGGAGATGATGGTAAGGTGGAGAAAAAACAAATAAGTAAAAGAAAATTCTGCCAATGTGCAGTTACCTAACAGTCTTCCCTAGTTATATGCAGAGCTGTTTGCTGAGCTCTTATAAAGTCTGTAAGTAAAACCAGAGATTCGTCACTTGGGGTGTAATAGAAGACCATGCAAATCCGTGTTTATCGAAGGAGCTTTATGCAGAC